ATCTATCTATCTATCTATCTATCTATCTATCTATCTATCTATCTATCATTTCAGTATTACTGATAACTTGCCCCAATCCCACCAGATGCTAGGTAAGATCAGGGATGGGATCCAACTGGTATAACTACCAGTTCTGTCTATTAGCGTCGCATGTGCATGCACGAGTCGTGGGAGTCCCGCGAGTGCAATTTACAACCTGCTGAGCTGCCCAGACAGCTAAGCAGCGCTGCGTGCAACTGCACAGCAGTTGGAAAAACACTTTTTTCCTGCTTTTTCAACTGCAGCTGTGTCGCGCAAAGCAGCTGCAGTTGAAAAAGCAGGAAATAAAGGTCAGGTAAGAGCCGGGCGGAGTGGGTGGGCCACAACAGCAGCAGACATAGAACCAGTTTTATGTCTGCTGTTCTTCAGAGCTATCAGTTCTACAGAGGTGGACAGAACCGGTAGAAACCCACCCCTGGGTAAGATACAATAGTCTAAACAAAGACATCATTGCCAGTGTGTGAATAAAAGAAATCAACAGTTGGGAAAACCGCAATATCCAAGGGAATCACTCCTTAACCAAATGATAACTGCCTGCTGGAACAATAGTGCTTTAACCTGCCTCTGAAACACCTATTAGAGTAAGAAGTTGGGTTTTTTTTTCAAAAAACACCATAATATGAATTATCCGATCCCTGTAGTTCTGCTGGGCAGATTTGGCCTATCAAGGAATAGCATTAACAACCATTTCAGCCTGCCCACCTTTGACTATGAGCCTGGCTGCAGAATATGCAGACCCAGCAGAGTTGGTGATGAAGACAGAATACTGGCCATCGTCCTCTTTGGTGACCTGGAGAACTTCCAGAGCGTGAAACTCATGGCTGTCTGTCCTTTGGAGACGATCACTTGTGTGTAACGGCTGACCATCTTTGAACCAGTAGAGACGGGGCTCAGGGAAACCTGAGTGGACGTATAATAAACACAGAGAGAGATGTATGAGTTAGAAGACTAATCAAGGGATCTATCACTGTTCCACTTAACACCTCATTCAGTTACTTGGCTAGCCACAGTCTGCCCCTAATTGCCTTCTGTCATTCAATGCTGAGAATCAGAGATTTCTTGCAAATTGTTATAGGTGGAATTTGGTTATTACACCTGAGAATATAAAGAGCCGAACTGAAGCCATTTTGTATTTGCAGTCTGAACTTTTAAAAGTTATGAAATGTGTTTTTGCTAGACAATTATACTAGATTGCAAAACTGTGTGCTTTGCTTAAATTAGAGATATGTTCCAGAGCGCTTTGACATTATATAGTCACATTAAGAGAAATTAAAGACCCTATTATAATCTTCTGGTATTTGAATAACTGGAAATCTGGAGATAATTCTGAATAAAGAATGTTGATAATCTTCCAATGTCAAGTGGGGGAATTTTTGTGGAAAGACCCACAACTTTCCTATGGGATTCTATGTACAGTATTTTTGATTTGGAAAACAAGATGTATTATGTAACTGTTTATATAACTATATTTGGATATAAATATGTGGTCTTTATTGAAAGAGGCGTCTCCTTTTCCTCATACTATGACCAGTATGTGTGAAAGGTTGATTGATACTGCAGTATCTACTTAAATAAAAGCCAGTTGTGTGTTTCAGAATATCAAGTCAGTCATTTCATTTTTGCTCTCACTTATTATTACACAAATGAAAGCAAATATAGGTGTCCCAGGATAATGTGGCAGCATCCAATCTGAGTTGGTCAGTGGGGTCAGAGGTTTTGCCTTCTGAGCTTTGGGACTCATGCTGGAACCCATCCTCAGGGAACTCCTCTCTCTAGCAGAGTGTGTGTTTTGGGTTATTCTGCATTTATATGGTGCTTTTTATGTGTGGGTTTTTAGTTGTTGATTGGGGTGCTAATGGTGTCTATTAAGTTTTTGGCTATTGTTTCCTTGTGCAGCCGAGTCATCATCTCCTAAATCAGCATTCTCGTTAACTGATGAGGGATCCATTTCACAGGCTTGGATCATTTTCTTGGGTTATTCTTGTCCCTGCTCATCCAACAATCTTAGTAGCTTCAAAATCGAATGTATGTCTTTCTTCATTGCTATGTGAGGCCTTTGGTCTTTTCATCTGATCACTTCTATTCTTGCAATCTGGTGGTTAGCTTCCTCCCTGTCTGTCCTACATAGTCACAGAGGCAATCCCTGCAGGGGAGATTTCTTGAGTCAGAATTTGCCAGTCACTGGTGAAGACTTTCCTGCCTCATGTGGGACTAGAACTCGTGGTCCCCTATTTCTAGCCTGGTGCCTTCACCACTATACCAAACTGATTCTCCTACTGCATTGCAAGTTCCACCCCTTTTATTCACACATTTGTAATGTTGGTTGCATACAAAAGGGGTGGAACTTGCATCGCAATAATGAATATTCTGAGTAATGAAATCCTTTTTTTAAAAAAATCTGCTTAATGCTGCAATGCCCCAGAATCCTTCTGAGCACCTAGTGGCTGGAATTGAACCCACAAATCAAGGTGATGTGAGTCAAAACCAAAATCAAGCGAAACAATTTTCAACCCACTATGTCAGGCTCATCCACTGCCTGAACAACTCTGAGAACAAAGACCAGCATGCAAGAAGTGATTGTGTGAATGGGATCTACCCCAGACTCTGAAGGTGTGGGGGGTGGGGGAGAATTGAAATATCTGTTACCTTTCACTTTTAAATGGAATTTGGCAACAGGGGCTCCAGGCGCCACATGAATATCGTGAAGTTCATCCATGATTTGAGGCAACTGTTCCTCTTCTGTTGTTGACTCCACTCCTTCTTGTTCCCGGCTGGTTCAAGAGATGGTGGGAAAGAGAGGGAGGGCAACACAAACGATTGACATGCAAAGCCCACTCCCAAATATAATTAGAAGTTAGAATGATAGGTTTAGAAGGGACCTTGGAGGTCTTCTAATCCAATCCCTTGCTCAAACAGGAGGCATGCAGGAAAGGGATGTGTGCTCCCTCTTCTGACTCGGAAGTCCCAGAATAATATTTGACAATAGATTTTCACCCAGAGTCATTGTGATATGAGATGGGTGGCAAATACATTTAATAAATAAATAATATTGCTTTTACCTGGACAGATAACCCTTAGCGCTGTAGTACGACGAGGTCTCCGTTGCATCTCCGGCTGTATCATAATCTGTGCTGGTTACTAATGAATGGTAAAAAGAAGATTTCAGGGGCAATGTTTCTCAATTTCAGTCACTTTAATGTCAGTGGACTTCAACTCTCAGAAGTCCATGGTGAGGTTGAGAAACATTGCATTAGAGCGATACTTCTCAAAAACAGCATAAGAGAAAGTGGACAATTGTGCAAGAATCAAGGAAGTTCTGATCAGTGATTTTTACGGGAGGGAGGGGGGAAAAGAGAAAGAAAGAAAGAAAGAAAGAAAGAAAGAAAGAAAGAAAGAAAGAAAGAAAGAAAGAAAGAAAGAAAGA